CAATGATTCAAGGGTGAAAATAAAGTAATGATGCAAAGCATGGGGGGTAAAATGGAGTGGTGTTGCAGCAATGAGTGCATGGAGTGGTGTTGAAATGATTCAAAGGTGAAAGTGAAGTGATGATGCAAAGCATGGGGGTAAAATGGAGTGGTTTTGCAGCTATGAATGCAAGTGGGGAACATGAATTATTGTGCACATGGTAGAGAAAGGAAAGGGAGGTGCAATGGTGCAGAAATGAGTCAAAGGTGCAGCAAGACTCATGATGCACAACATGGGATTCCAAATGTGGTGGATGGTGCATCAATGAGTGCATGTAATGGAGGTAAAAGTTGTATGAAATCTGATGGGTGAAGGGGACAAGAAATGTGCAGCAATTGAGTGCAATGATTCAATGTTTTGATGCATGAAATCAAAAATAATGAAGGAGACAAGGGTGGTGCACGACATGGGTGGATAATGAGTGTAATGGTGCATGAAATGAGTACAAGAAATCTGGTGCATGAAGGGGACAAGGGTGATTATGCATGGCATGGGTGGAAAGGTGAGTAAGTGGTGAATCAATGAGTGTAAGAAGGTGAAAGGATATTGTGCATAGGGCAGACAAAGGAAAGGAAGTGGAATGGTGCAGCAAATGAGTGCAAGGAGGGAACATGGATGAATGTGCACGGCATGGAGTGATTTATGGTAGAAAATAAGAAAGGAATGGCTCCCTTGCACGGCAAGGAAGAGAAATGGTGAAGGATGGTATGGCTTGGACTTTTAGGGCAGGTTTAGGACTTGTAGAATATGTAATGAAATGTCCCAAAGTATTTAGGAACCCTTCGTGTGACTAAATCTTTGGTAATTTAGGATTAGGAAAGGTAACAACAAGATAAGGCAAGTTTGACTAGTCTTTTCTCATTCTTAATGGTTTCCTTGTCTTCCTTGGTCCTCAATTTATTTTCTTCCTTTCCTTGGCACATTCCTAGTTTCTTTAGATCTTTAATTTCGTCCAACCACTTTGCGTCATGCATGTGATATCCATTCCATGCCCAAAACTACTCCAAAAGGCACCAAAATGCACTTCTTTGCCTCTTTAACCCTTTGTACCTACAACCACACAAAAATGGCTTGAAATACTAAATCAACTAAGAAATAACAACATAAATGCACAAGAACAAGCTAACTAAGTCGCATAAATTTGCTCCTATCAAAACCCTAAGGCCTAATCCTTTGTTTCTGCTAAGTTCTAACCTTAACCTGATTTCTTTAGGGTTTTGCCGTGCCTATATATACATATTTTCAGTCAAATTTCGATCACCACCCCCCATATAATTTAGAAACACATTCAACCGCAATACACACACCCATTCTACATCCTTTGCGGCACCATTGGAGAGGAAGAGAGCTTTGCCGTGGCTACCATTGAAGGAGGAGGACCTTGTACTGCAAGCCACCTGCAACCATTGGAGTTCTAAGAGTCCTTTCTTCCCTCGTTTTAGTTTCAATGCTTATTTTAGATTGCTTTTCAATTGTTATGAACATGAGGAACTAATTTCTTTTTGGTTAGAGGTGAATTCGAAGCCATGGACATATGTTTAATATGAATTGATTACCTTCAGTTATTGTTTCGTAAAACATGAATGTGATTTACTTATCTATTTGATTGAGAACTTATTCTTGTGTGTTGATTAAGGATGCATACTTAGTTTGCATGCATGAATCTAATGCTAAAATATAATGGTTTCACCTAATAGTTACAAACTTATATTTACAAGTAGTGAAGGTTGCTAGTCACAATCGTGTTAAGTAGATTCTTGGCAAGAGTATCATGCAGTTCATAGTTATGATTGTCATGTCAATGCTTATGATTTTCATAGAACGTAATGATCTTTGAATGTATCTTTATCATGCTGTTCATATAGGGAACTTGAGGAGAATAATTTGGTTGCGATGCGTTGTCCATTCAATTCAATGAATTTAGGGAAATCTGAGAGTTAATTTGTGCATTCACGATTAATTTGGGGCATTGTTATTCATGGTTTGAAGAAACAATACTGGAAATCAATTTATGTGCATATGTTTCATGTGTGGAGAAGGACCCTCTAACTAGTTTTTCACCCTTGAATTCATCTTAATCTCGTTTTAACTTACTTTGTTTGCTGCAATTTACTTAGTTTTGTCAAATTCGTCCAAATACCCCCTTAGTTCTTATTTCGTGTCTTAGTTTAGTTAATTTTGTTCAAATCTGTCCCCATTTAGTATTTTGAGTCAAGTTTAGAATTCGTCCAAATCACTCTTTAGTAGTTGTTTTGAGTCTTTTTAACTTAGTTTTGCTATTTTGAGTCAATTTGGTCAGTTTTGAGTCATAAGAGTCTAGTTTTCTGTTTTTGAGTCTAGTTTAGTGTTTTAAAGTTTAAATTGAGTAGATTAGCATCCCTTCTAATCCCCGGCCTTAAATGATCTCTACTTACATATACTACAATCATAGGGTTTTAATTTGAGAGTTGGAATATTTCATATCATTTATTTCTCATTTTCCCTGTGTATTTAGGATCAAACCTGTTTACCAAATTATGTGAAGCCTTGCTTTTCTAAAACCTATAAATAAAGGCCCTTGTCGCAGCCTTTAGGTGATCCATTCACTATTATTCTTACTTTTAGCCATTCTTTCATATAATTCATCACTCAAACCATCACCCACACCTTGTGCCGCATCAAAGAAGAAGAAGGAGGACCATTGGACGTGCTTGCCATTCAAGCTTGGATTGCTGGAACATTTTTAGGTGTAATTCATCTTTTGTTTCCAATGTTTAATTTAAGTTATCTTTGTTTAATTGTGAACATGAAGAGCTAAACTCGTTTTAGCTAGAGGAAAATTCAAAGCCATGAACATATTTGCAATATGAATTGATTACTTCCAGTTGTGATTTAATAAATCGTGAATGCAATTTACTTAACTATTTCATTCAGAACTTATTCTTGTTTTGTTGATTAAGGATGCATACTTAATTTGCATGCATGAATTTAATGCTAGAATATAAGGGAGTTTCACCTAATTGTTATGAACTTATTCATAAGTAGTGAAGGTTGCTAGTCATAATCGTGTTAAGTAAATTCCTGACATGAGTATCATGTTGTTCATAGTTATGAATGTCTTGTCAATGCTTATGATTTTCACAAAGCTTAATGATCTTTGATTGTATCTTTGTTATGTTGTTCATGTAAGGAACTATTGAAGAATAATTTGGTTGCCGATGCATTATCCATCCAATTCAATGACTTAAGGAAAATCTGAAGGTTAATTAATGCTGTTCACGGTTAATCTGGGGCGTTGAGGTTCATGGTTTATTGGAAAAACAACTAGAAATCGATTTGTATGCTAGTGTGTCATGTGTGGAGAAGGACCTTTAGCTAGCCAATCACCCATAATTTCCCCCAATTTCGTGTCAAATTTGTTTAAGTCTTTAATCTACTTGTTTTTACTTTAAATTCGTCAAAAACCAAATCCCCTTTACTTTGTTGTGTCAAATTAGTTAGAATCTGTCCAAACTTTGTTTTTAAGTGTTTTGAGTCAAGTTAAAATCAATTTTCGTCCAAATCACCCTTTAGTGTCTAGTTTGAGTCTATTTGATTATTTTGTGTTGTTTTGAGTCTCTTTAGTTTGTTTCGAGTTCTTTGAGTCTAGTTAAGTGTTTTCAAGCCTAGTTTTATGTTTTTGAGTCAGTTTTAAGTAGATTTGCAATCCCTCCTAATCCTCGGCCTAGAACAATCCCTACTTACATTTTTACTACAATTGTCAATAAGAGGGTTTAATTTGAGTGCTAATTTATATCACATCAACCTGCAAAACTCAAGCCTTCACAAGGAAGGCGAGTACATTGGTACTCGAGGTGCGTGGACGCGCAAGGGTGGCGCCCAGTCCTCGGCACGTGGCTGATAGTGCAGCCACCTTGTGGCAGCTTATGAAGGAACCCAAGGTCCCTCTTTAGGTATCTCGACGTGCCGAATCCGAATCCGCCATCCGTTTTCCGAAATTCGACTGTTTTAAAATAGTTTCTTTATTAGCTTTACTTTGTACGAAAACGCATATTTATGTTAGTTCGTAATATATTTACGTAAATGATTTCGTTTCTAGGTGAAACACATTTCAAGGATCTTCGATGCCCATGAGGCGGGTTCGACCTGAGAACATGATTTGTAAGTGGGTCTTTACTTTTAAATATTATATATTTATTTAGTTTCCGTTTATATATTTGATATAGAATTTTCTACGTTACACTTATATTAGACTAACATTTTTAAGAATTAGCGTATTGACAGAATTTATGAAATTCTCATTAATTCTACGGGATGCACGTTTATACATATTTTGACGTGATACCACTTACGACTACAAATATTATTATTTTATTGTGGTGAACTATGAAGTTTTCGTAGTATGATCATATTTATATTATTGCTCATCATGCATGTTACACTGGTGTTTGTACTTGGCTAGGCAAGGGCCAAGCTTCACGTGTATGTTCACATTGCACTGTACGCTCACTTTGGATCAATTGCAGGTGCCAGTCCTGTTCATGTCAAAATACCTCTGCATAAACTCATGTGTCAGCATAAATTAATGAGCACTGGTTAGTATATATATTTGTTTATTCGAGATATGGGGATTACCAAGTGTTACGTGTTTACTTACAAAGTATTATGAAGTATTGCAGCCTTGACGATTTTACTGTTTATGGTAAGTATTTTCATACTATACGTAATATGCTATATTTGAAAGCTATACTTGTTTTACAACGAGGAGATATCACATTTCGAAAAGGTTTTACAAACTTTATTTTCAAGCCCACTCGCCCTTGTTTTTCGCCCCTCCAGAATTTAGTGGCAGTGTTCGCGTCGATGAAGATTTATGTCAAATGCTGATATCGGAGACAACATAGAGTTCTCATTCTAATTTTATTGTACTTTACTTATGCTCTGACATCACGTGTGAAATGGGTTATAAACAAGGCGAAAAGTAGAATGCAAAACCTTTAACATCTGAATTTATATTTTCCGGTAACAAAAGCTTCCGATATATCAGACAGCCAGTAAGGATCGACTTCAGATTTCGGGGACAAAATCGATACAGTTCACCTGCGGCAAATGTTTCTCCCCTTCCAAATACTATTCTAGCACTAGTCAATTAACCCGATGGTTACTTCATCGCATACAAAGGATTAAAAGCAGGAAAATGGGTAAGGTTGAAATCCATGTGAGCAAGAGAACAAGCAGTGTGTGGTGTGAGCGCAAGAAATTTACAACCTTCTATCTTCTGATATTTGTTTGGCTTTCTAGATCTCAGACTCATTCCCACTATCATCCTTCGGTCTTCGAAAATTTATAACATATTTCCTCCCACTTGATTGACCATACATGACAATTGGATTCCCAAATCCCAATCAAACCTGCGAGAATAAGCACAGATTTTCATTATCGTTGAAAAAAACTCAGAAGAGCAGAAAACACACGCAACTGATTAGCGCAAGGACAAGAAACTAATGGAAGTGAGGATGATCAGAGGACCTAACTTTATAACAGTTGAAATAAGTATTACTATTTGATATGAAATGTAAGATCCAACTCATAGATTTGCCAATTTCATTGACAATAGCAGTAGAAGTGCATAGAGTTAGTATAATGTAACAGATAAAAATCAGTAGATCTAAAAGACATGTTCAATTGACTGTAAGAACTAATAACACTAACATGGAGAAAATGAATTACTGTTTTCTAGTATTCTGAATGAGGAAAAACCACTAAATATCCAAATCATCATCAGGATCCTCATCAGAATCCGGCATCTCATCTTCTGAATCGCGAAAATATATTATTTCACCCTTGCTAGACTCGTCATTGGTGTTTGGATTCACAGTTGAAGCAGGTGCAGCCTCATATTTGCTATCCATCAGAGATTTTCGACCATCATAAATTTGTACGGGTTTACCATTTCCTGCAGGAAAAGGTCAAAAGTTTTCTTTGGAGTATCGCTTTAATGCAGATAAAAGAAAAGAAACCTTTTTTACTGATATTTAATATATGGTACAAGAACAAACCACTTATATAACCATGTTTTCATACCTTGGTGTTCAAATGGAAGTACAACCTTGGCCCTATCATTTTTCTCTTTCTCTGACAGCTGTAGATTGAATTGCACCTGTAGTGAAGAACCATTTTTAAAATAAAACAATAAACCAATGAAATAACCATTCCTCCAAAATAAATAGAATTTCGACAACTTTGTCATCAACGTGCACAATAAAACTTACTATTCAGTAGTGAACATCTGTTTATGTCCATGTATGCAACGTCTAGTTATGTCTTATGTGAAAGTTATTAGATGATTCAGTATTAGTAGTCAACCAATTGTATCATAATGGACTCAAATTGGCAATTGGAAATATCAGAATGTAATGAAACTGGAAATAAACAATTAAAAGAAATCCTTAATTCCAAATAAGGTCTTATAGACCTAGAGAGGCGAAGTTAAGACAAGGCTAAACAAGTTACCTTCGGCAAAAGGGCTTGATTGACTTGATTGATTACTCCATCTTCAGATGAAGGGGATGTGAAGCTGATGCCCGACTGCCCAACATGAATTTCTTCAAACTGAATACAAGTTTCAGGGACTCATATGACTTTCCAGCTTTCTAAATCAGGAGAAAACTCACACACACACACACAAAGAGAGAGAGAGAGAGAGAGAGATCACCATCACTCGGACACGTCCATTTCTACGTTTGCATCTGACATGAAATTTCCCTTGTGTAAAATTCTGTTCAGCTAAAGAAAGATTCTCTGAATTACCTCTGTGTCCATTTGTAAATGGGATTAATGGTTCTATGCTGGCCACCATAGAGGACATGTATTCAATAACAGCAGCGACCCTTTCTTCACAAAGATCCGCATGGAAAAACCAAAAGATGCTTGAAATTTGCTCTGCAACCATAACATAAAAGTCAATATGCAGATTCCAAAAGTTGAATGTATGCAGTGACCATATCATGGACTTCACCGAGTCTAATATGAATGATGGGCCATTTCATATTGAGACACCACATATATATTGTAGTAAATTAGAAAAGAAACCCAAATAACTATTTGTTTTACAGTTTTAGTGAAAAACACTTCGGGAGCTCAATTTGCAGAAAAGTCTATCCCTTGTCATGCTCTAATTGATTCTTAGTTGTGAAAGTCCTTTGGTGTTACAAAGTAGTTGGGTTTTTCAATACTGAGTTTGAAGTGTTTTTCTATGTTATCAAGGGCTTACACATGAAGCCCTATATACTACATCATCCAAAAAGGGTATATTAAACAGTTTTTATGGTAGCAGCTAAAGGCTTGTGGCAGAAGAGATAATGCACGAAAAAACAAATCGTAAGACTAGATCAAAGTTAAAACAATAGATTCTAAACGGAAAGAGATCAATAAGCAAGTAAAATAAATATACCACAGCAGCGAAGGTTGTTTAAAAGGCCAGAAACTGATGACAAAGTTGCATGCCTTGACATTTCATTTACCTGGAAAATTTTGAAAGCAATCCAGCAAAAAGAACATGATCAGAAAGAGAGGGAAAAACATCAAAGTAACCAGAAAGAAAAATTTCCCAAGGCGGGCAAAAACAAACATATCAACAGAAGAATTACTTTCCAATACAGACTTCCAAAAACGTAAAGACAACTTATAGATATCAACCAGGAGCTACTATCAAGAAGGCACCAAAGTGTCCTGCCTTATCTAAATATGAGACAAAAGAGTATCGTAAAAGTACATACTTCTTGACATCGGAAGCAATTGACATTCTCCTCACTAAACTAAGGCAAAAGAAACAGTTGTGTTTAGCCATTCCAGAAAATGGCCACAACAAAAGAAGCTTGCATATTCAATAATTTTCTTGTAAAACCAATGACATACTATGTCCCATGTAAGTATTTAATCTCTATGGCTAAGGGGAGCGCATCCATCAAAATTTCAGCTGGCATATTTTTTGAAATCTGGAAGGAGGTTTCCAAGCCCCAACACAGATGGGATTCTTAGAAAGTAAGACGAGATTCTTAGAAAGTGACGAGAAATTTCTTGTGTATGGCAGTGTTTTAAACTCGATAGGACGTTTCCACACATACACACACAAAAATATTAAACTAAAGTAAAAAAATCACTGTACAGTCTTGGCACACAGCACCAGCAGGCCACTCAAATTACTAGCACTGCCCCTGAAATTTCATATATCAGATATTCACAGAATGCATACTTACCGAATCTATCGCAACACTGAAACTAACTTTCCCTTGTCCAACCAATCCTGCGAGCATAGGACCAAACAGAAATCGAAAATTACAATTGGACTAAATTATGTGAATGTTTACATGATCAAACAGTCGTCTTACTGTGAAAATAAAGTTTATTCCAATGTTATGTATGTCAGTACCAATCGAACCAATAATACCTTCTCCAAGTGAAATAATTGAAGAGAGCAACGTGTCCACATCCTTCACATTCCTGCAAACACTAGCTGCTTTGTAAACTTCATGAGGGAGATTTTTCGCACTTCCACACTCCACGAGCCCTTCTCTCCATCCAAGAGGGTCCGTGTAACAATCCAAAATCTGAATCCTGTAATGCTACCTCAGTTAACTGGTCCCCCGTACATTATACACACACATGTATAAGTAAATTCTCCACTGTTTTTCTTTTCAATTTCCTCAATCAAACAGAGTAGAAGGTAAGGAAAGAGAAGAAGGTTTTCGTTACCGTTGCTGAGAGGAATTATCGAGTCCTCTCCTCTTCAACAAATTCACATAATACAACGGACTCCGAGAAAACGCGACGAGCACAAGACCTCTATAAAATCAATCAAAAAAATTATTAATCTAAAAAATACATAGGAAAATTGCAAATTTCAACCGTGAGATTGGGTCGTTCTGGGAGAGGCAAACCGACCGTGACTGAGATTTTCCGGCTGAAATGTTGGTGGAGAGCTGGGAGAGGACGTGACCAAAAACTTGGAAGCCGAGAGGTGAGACTATTGAGTCCTTGATTGTGAGAGCAGGTGCATGCTCGCCTTCCAACGCACCGTCTCGAAGGGCTCTGCAAACCCATTCCGCCATTGTTGCTGGGTACTTGAACCTTGGAGTGTTATTTGGTCATTTGGAAAGAAAACGAAGAGATTTAGTAAAACTTTAAACTACACGTCTTCAACACTCCATAGAAGCAGATGAGTTCCGATTTCGCATTTGCAGGCAAAGGAGATCAAATTTAAGCGTTGAATGATAACCGGAGCTACGGTGACTTACCGCGGCGAATCGAGCTTTGGTCCCTACCAAGTACGAATTGAGAGAGGGGAGGCGGGGCCTATGAACTTGAACAGAGAAGGGGATCGATGTTGACTGCCGCAAAGAGAAGGCGAGGTGGGCAAAGTCGAGAGGAAGCTCGCGGAGGCGAGGTGTGATGTGAGGGAGACGGCGAGGTGGTGTGTATCAGTGAGAGCACAAAGCCTCCGCCCACCCTGTGCCTACATCCTTCTTTCGACACCTCTCCGAGAGTTGGGAGTGGGCCTTGGTTTGTGGATCTGGATTTGGTTTTAGGACATTCGGCCCAAATAAAATAAACGCTTCCGCTGGGCCTTCTAAGGCACCCAGCCGTTTCCCTTCCCTTCCCTTCCCTTCCCTTCTCTTCCTGCTCAAATTTCCAAACAGTCGACAGACCGGTGGCACCTGCAGGCTGCAGCGAAGCCAAATCATGGGTTATTCCTGCTGAATTTTCCACAAAGCTCAATCAGTGCAGCTTTCAGCTCAGATTTGTGATTCTCTCTCTCTCTCTCTCTCTCTCTCTCTCTCTCTCTCTCTCCCCCTCTCCTTCTCCCTCTCTCTGCATACAAACAGGTGTAGCAGCAGCAGCAGAGAGGGATTTTGGTGTGTCTGACTCCTCTGGCTATGGAGAGTTCCCATTCCCAAGATGACCGTGAGCCAGCCCCTCCGGGCGTCGACTCCTTTCCACAATATTCCAACTCAACCCATCACTTTACTTCCCACTGCCAGACTTTCACCCCACACCCACACCAACAGCCGCAGGGTGCGTTTTGGGCTCAAGATTCTACTGCAAACTCCGCGTTGGATATCGAAAACGCTAGCCAAATTGATGTGTCATTGCATCAACAAGTACATACATATTCCTGTTTTCCTTTTTCATTTCCTTCTTTCATGTATGAATGTATGAATGAATGAATGAATGAATGTATGTATGTATGTATGTATGTATGTATCTAGGGTTTGCTTTTTTTCTTCGTGCCGTGATGTGATTATTTACTCTCTGTCTGCTTAATAGGAAATTTCTACTCAAAATGTCATACGTATTCAGAGGTTTGTATTCATTTGCTTTCACTTAATCTTCTTTTTGTAATGATTGATGGATATGAAAATAACATTAAGTTTGATGCATTTCTTTCTCAAATTTTAGAGAAGCAAGAGGCGTGAGTCTGTCTTCTAAGGATGGTTTAGACGTCTTCTCCCAACGCCTTGACCCTAATGCTCTAAAGGTTTCTAATTCTAATCTCTTTTCTTTTTCTTGTTTTGCAGTGTCAATTTTATACTAGGCTGACTAAGTTTATCATCTCCCTTTCTGAAAATTATTATAAGTTTGTGCACTCCGCTTATCAGTCCTGCTACAGGAGAATCTACTGAAGATGACCACGCAACATCGTGCTCAAATGGCTTCAAAACGTGGCAAGTCTTCCGTTCCTGGAGAAGGTTGGTAGAAAGACTCGTGCTATTATTCTTTTTTTCTCAAAACATTTATACCTTTTTCTAAAATCATGGCAGGTTTGGCCTCCCAGTAGAACGACTATTGTTCATTCTTTCTGCTTCCCTGTTGTTACTGTTTCCTCTTTTACTTTCCTGGCCAACATTTTGAATGTGTGTTCCTCTTAGAAGATTTTCCTTACGAAACTAAGAGTGTGTAAAGAGGAAGAAGCGACCTATTAATAAAAAGAGAAAACTTAGACATCAGTGCAACTAAATGTTATATACTTGAAGCTCCTTTGAGGAAAACATCGCAAGGCATGGACAGGGTGGGGTTGTTTCAAACGTGTCACAACTCATACGAGACTGTTCCTTCTTTTGTCAGGAAAAAGAGCATCTACATATTTATATCGATCTCAGGTTCTATTAAGTAGGATTCAAGTCCGTAGCTTCCCTTAAAAGGTAGTGTCATCTGAAAATTATGACTATGGATTGAAGCTGCTTTTTAATAAAGCAGGATTGAAATCATTGAAGCTACCCTTAATACTCTGAAAATGATGTCTTTGCACACCTGTTTAAATTCTCTTTGTACTCAGTTCCTACTGTTAGTATTTTATTTGTCCTATAATTAAAAAGAATAAAGCTTGGAAGGGTTTACAGAACTTTGTAACTTTGGATTGGCAGATTTGACTAAATGCCTCATTTCCTATACATACTGAATTTATGAGCTACTCAAATATGTATACTTGTAATAATAATTCTTGAACATTCCGTTGAATATCCTGGAAATGAGAAAAACTATTGAATTGGTGATGTTGGAGTCCGAAGATTTTATGTGATTGGATAAAAACAACTAGTCAAACTTGCAGACGCAAAGAAGAAGCATAGAAGTCAACAATTAGGAAATTGGAAGCACGCATAGACACCTTAAGCGTAGATATGTAGAAAAGCCCATCTAAAGGTCTTCGCCTAAGCCGATCAAAGACAGAATATATGGAGTGCAAGTTCAGTGCAAATGGAGGCCAAAACGAGTTAGGGGTGAGGATCGGAGATCAAGAAATACCAAAGAGCGACCGTTTTCGTTACCTAGGATCTATCTTGCAAAAGAACGGAGAATTAGATGGAGATCTCAACCATAGAATACAAGCTGGATGGATGAAGTGGAAGAGTGCATCCGGCGTGTTGTGTGACCGCCGTATGCCACTGAAGCTCAAGGGAAAATTTTATAGGACGGCAATAAGGCCGGCGATGCTGTATGGCACAGAATGTTGGGCGGTGAAACATCAACACGTACACAAAATGGGTGTAGCGGAGATGCGGATGCTTCGTTGGATGTGTGGGCACACGAGAAAGGATAAGATTAGGAATGAGGATATCCGGGGTAAAGTAGGAGTAGCCGAAATTGAAGGAAAGATGAGAGAAAATCGGTTACGGTGGTTTGGACATGTGCAAAGAAGGCCTACTGACGTTCCGATTAGAAGATGCGACTATGGGACAGAGGTTCAGGGCCGAAGGGGTAGAGGAAGACCTAGGAAAACTTTGGAAGAGACTCTAAGAAAAGACTTAGAGTACTTGGATCTAACGAAGGACATGACACAGGATCGAGCACAATGGCGTTCTAAGATTCATATAGCCGATCCCACTCAGTGACTTGGATTTTCCAAGTCTCCAACCGAGAAGTTTTCCTCACTCGGGAAATTAAGGGAACACTACCCCAACCTACATGCTCCACTCAGAAAGCTTCAACATACAAGCTTTAACAAAAGAAAATTCAAAGAACTTAGCGAAGAAGGCTTTGGTGTATTTAACACAATACGTTGAAATGAAGGAAAGCTTATTTATTGATATCCCCGATAAGCTACAAATATGTACATATACATGAGTCAAAATAAGCACACAAGAGGGAGCTTTCACAAAGGTTGCTTAGGAGAAGTCTCAGCAGTCGGTAGAGCCCCAGAAAGAGAAGGTACCGGAGGGGGATCATTTGGAGCCTCAGTACTGGACAGAACCCTAGAAGGAGGAGGCATCAGAGGTTGATCATTTGGAGCTTCATTACGCGGTACAGCCCCAGAAGACGAAGGCAATAAATGCCTTTGGAACAAACCCACAAATCTCTGATGATCAAGTAAAACCTGACCATCAGTTTCCTTCATCTGGTCAAGCTTCCTCTTCATGTTTGTAGCATAGTCATGTGCGAGCCGGTGCAACTGTTTATTCTCATGCTTGAGCCCTCTAATCTCCTGTTTGAGACTCATCACTTCAGCCGCCAATGATTCAACTTGGCGGGTTCGAGCAAATAGGCGTTGGGCCATATTAGACACAGAACCTGCACACTGAACACTAAGAGCCAGCGAATCCTTAACAGCTAACTCATCAGACCGTTTGGAAAGTAGTCTGTTATCTTTGGGAGTGAGAAGGTTCCTGGCCACCACCGCAGCGGTCATATCATTCTTCATCACGGAATCCCCAACGGTAAGAGGACCAGTAGGGGAGACGAAGGATGGGCGCCATATGTTGTCTGGAGAAGGCGGGGCTGCCTCTTCAACAAGGTTCAAGTCAAAACGACGGTCGGAGGGGCCAGACATTTTCAAAGGTGTTGAAGAGAGAAGAGGTCGGACAAATCAAGATCTTAGAAGTGCAAGAATGAAGCTTCTACTGGTGGAGATTCAAGTGTGCTTTGGAACTTAATGCCAGCCCCTATAAAAATCTGCACTCGACGAAGCTTCAGAAAATCGAAGAGGCGTCTGCTCAGAAATCGAAGAGGCGTTTGCTTTCTCAAAAGCTGGGCTGCTTAGAGATCACGAGGGTTGATCTCAGAAATCGAAGAGGCGTTTGCTTTCTCAAAAGTTGGGCTGCTCAAAGACCACGAAGGCCGATCTCAAAAATCGAAGAGGCGCTCGCTTTCTCAAAAGCTGGGCTCCCTAGAGACCACGAGGGCCGATCTCAGAAATCGAAGAGGCACCTACTTTTCCAGCCTTTTCCAGCCTTGTCAGCACCTGTCACACGCACACTCAGTTTTGCGAAAATTATGGGCATTCTGTCAAAGACTTCTGGGGAAGTAGAAAACACATGAATCTTACTGTTCAATCACCCACTTCCCACACGCAACAATAGCTCATGGGTACCACAGATAACTTTGCCAAAGTTCTCTGCCAAAGTTGAGCACGTGAAGCTTGCAGCTCCCACTACATCGCTCTGACCAAGAAGGGTAAAAGAATAGCAAAGAAACAGCACTAACAAAGTTTAGACCCATAAATTTTGAAGGTCTAGCTACCATATTATTACCCACAAGGGTAAAGGAACAGTACCACTGCTGGATAATTGGAAAGTCCCTGTGTGTCAACCTCTGTGCTTCGTGGCAAGGTAGACTAGCAAACATGCCCAACCTTTACTCACATTCGAGAAAACACTCCCAATAAGATTGCTTGCTCCAAAATCGAAGGGGCACCGTCCTCCGAATCTCGAGAGCCAGACTCCCAACATGACTACTTTCTTAAAAATCGAAGAGAGGGTAAAGGAACAGTACCATTGCTGGATAATTGGAAAGTCCCTGTGTGTCAACCTCTGTGCTTCGTGGCAAGGTAGACTAGCAAACATGCCCAACCTTTACTCACATTCGAGAAAACACTCCCGACAAGATTGCTTGCTCCAAAATCGAAGAGGCACCGCCCTCCGAATCTCGAGAGCCAGACTCCCAACATGATTACTTTCTCAAAAATCGAAGAGACACTGCTCCCCGAATCTCGAGAGCCAGACCCCCAGCATGATTGCTTTCTCAAAAATCGATGAGGCATCGTTCTCCGAATCAATCGAAGAGGCGCTCGCTTTCTCAAAAGCTGGGCTGCTCAGAGACCACGAGGGCCGATCTCAGAAATTGAAGAGGCACCTACTTTTCTAGCCTTGTCAGCACCTGTCACACGTACACTCAGCTTTGCAGAAATTATGGGCATTCTGTCGAAGACTTCTAGTGAAATAGAAAGCACATGAATCTTACTGTTCAATCACCCACTTCCCACACGCAACAATAGCTCATGGGTACCACAAATAACTTTGCCAAAGTTCTCTGCCAAAGTTGAGCACGTGAAGCTTGCAGCTCCCACTACATCGCTCTGACCAAGAAAGGTAAAGAGAATAGCAAAGAACAGCACTAACAAAAGTTTAGACACATAAATTTTGAAGGTCTAGCTACCATATTATTACCCACAACTGTAAAGGAACAGTACCACTGCTGGATAATTGGAAAGTCCCTGTGTGTCAACCTCTGTGCTTCGTGGCAAGGTAGACTAGCAAACATGCCCAACCTTTACTCACATTCGAGAAAACACTCCCAATAAGAATTGCTTGCTCCAAAAATCGAAAGAGGCACCGTCCTCCGAATCTCGAGAGCCAGACTCCCAACATGACTACTTTCTCAAAATCGAAGAGAGGGTAAAGGAACAGTACCATTGCTGGATAATTGGAAAGTCCCTGTGTGTCAACCTTTGTGCTTCGTGGCAAGGTAGACTAGCAAACATGCCCAACCTTTACTCACATTCGAGAAAAACACTCCAACAAGATTGCTTGCTCCAAAATCGAAGAGGCACCGCCCTCCGAATCTCGAGAGCCAGACTCCCAACATGATTACTTCCTCAAAAATCGAAGAGACACTGCTCTCCGAATCTCGCGAGTCATACCCCCAGCATGATTGCTTTTCTCAAAAATCGAAGAGGCATCGTTCTCCGAATCTCGAGAGCCAGATACCACAGACCACTTTTTCAAAGTGCTCTGACAGAGTTAAAACATGTGAAACTGGCAGCTCCCACTACCGTGCTATGACCAAGCAGGGTAAAGGAATAGCATTACTTACTTGTTGTTAGGGAGACTCCTATATATGTCGACCTCCATTCCCAACGGACAGGCAGACCTGCAAAAATGCTCAACCCTTCATCATATCTGAGAGGGCACTCCCAACGAAGCCTTTCGAAATATTCAGCTTTCTTTCCCCCCGATAATACCTCTGCAAACAAGCTATACTAGAGCAAGAATATCTCATATCATCAGGGTTAAAAGCAAGAGTATCCCATATCATGCTTTTTCCCTGTCTTTTCTTTTGGCCTTGTTTTTTTACCTGCAAGACAAGGAGAAAGAGAGCAATCAGTCAGCACTTGGAATCAAGCTTCCAGCCAGGAACTGACTGCCTGGAACCCCTTACCTGATTACTTACCTGGCATTGCTCTCGAGTACTCATCTTCAACATCTTATGTTTCCAGGGAAGATTCTGCATCTGCTTGAGGAACAGATAGGGCAAGTGCGAAGGATACAAGGAAGCATGTGGAGACAAGCGTAACAGCACACGTGCCGATACATTCATTACTCTGTCAAAAGCAAAAGTATCCCATATCAGCAGGGTGGAACGTACTCTAGATTTGATGGACTTGTTTTGACCCTCAAATTCTTCAGTCGGCCTTATACTCTGGAGGAAACCAGAAAACCCTCCAGCTCAGTTCAAGAATAAGCCTGTGGAAAGTTACTTCTTCAAAAGCAAAAGTATCTCATATATCATCTCTTCTCATTTTTCTTCTCTTTATCCTTCATGCTGCTGCAAGATGGGGAGAAGGTGAACAATCAGTCGGAGCTCTGATTGCTTACCTTGTCTGTCACCTCTTTCAGCAGACCCCCTAGCTCTCGGCGACTTGGGGGACTCCTACTACATGGTTTGTATCGCGCTTGACCAAGCCTGAAACTACAAGTAAGCTTCAAGTGAAATTGATACATTACCTTGTGCATCTCCACCAGTTAAAGATACCACCCCTGGATGGAGGAAGAGTACTTCCAGAGAAGATGCCACATCTACCTATGAGACAGATAAGGCAAGTCAAGACGACACCACATCTCGATACTTAGAAGTTTCGTGATTACGAGATCATTCTCCCACAATATTTCCTAATGTCATTTGTACTAAATCATTCACTTGTACTCACTAAATGAGAGCTTGAACCTATGTACTTGTGTAAACCCTTCACAATTAATGAGAACTCTTCTATTCCGTGGACGTAGCCAATCTGGGTGAACCACGTACATCTTGTGTTTGCTTTCCTATCTCTATCCATTTATATACTTATCCACACTAATGACCGAAGCAATCTAGCGAAGATCACAAAAAGCGATCGTTTTCGCTACCTAGGATCTATCTCGCAAGAGAACGGAGAATTAGATGGAGATTTCAACCATAGAATACGAGCTGGATGGAAAGAGTGCATCCGGCGTGTTGTGTGACCGTCGTAGGCCACTGAAGCTCAAGGAAAATTTTATAGGACGGCAATAAGGCTAGCGATGTTGTATGGCACAGAATGTTGGGTGGTGAAGCATCAACACGTACACAAAATGGGTGTAGCGGAGATGAGGATGCTTCGTGGGATGTGTGGGCACACGAGAAAGGATAAGATTGGGAATGAGGATATCCGAGGTAAAGTAGGAGTAGCCGAAATTGTAGGAAAGATGAGAGAAAATCGGCTCCGGTGATTTTGAACATGTGCAAAGAAGGCAGACTGACGCTCCGGTTCGAAGATGTGACTACGGGACAGAGGTTCAGGGCCGAAGGGGTAGAGGAAGACCTAGGACAACTTTGGAAGAGACTCTAAGAAAAGACTTAGAGTACTTGGATCTAACGGAGGACATGACACAAAACCGAGCGCAATGGCGTTCTAGGATTCATATAGCCGACCCCACTTAGTGGGAAAAGGCTTTGTTGTTGTTGTTGTTGTTGTTGCTTACCTAGGATAGTTATCATTAAACTTCCCATGAAATTACTTCAGAAAAAACATTTTTCAGTACCCTAATGGTTTCTAACGAGTTCATTGGAATATTGCTTTCCTTGTATTGCTTAGATCGGAGGGCAGCTCTTTGCTACTGTGGCCTTGTTTTTGTTTTAGGCTGTTTGTTTTTAGTTGCTTGGTTTTCTGTTCCTTGTTGTGCTGCAGTGTTTGGGCTGGTCTGCTGGACCACCCTGTCCGTTAGCCTTTTATTTCTCCTAATAAAACTTTCCCATCGAAAAGGGAAACTTAATGGAATAATATAAAGTAATGCTTGTCTGTGTGAATTTCTTTTTATAGTCTAAGTTACAGACATACAAAATATTTTAACAATCAGCAGTCTCAAATTCCTGATATTTGGAGGAAGTTTACTTTTATGAAGAAGGAGAAGAAAATTTAATTTGGATATGGGAAATGATAACCACACATCCTTTTTCTCCCCCTAGACACCCCCGTTTAATCTTGTCCACTGTTTCGGTTTGATTTATTGAATCCAATGGCTAAAAGGGGGTGTGTAGGAGAAAAAAAAAGGTGTGGTTACCATTTCCTTTTGGATATACTTTACAATTAATAAAAGAAATGCAACCTTATTACAGTGTTAAAAATAGATGTGAGCAGTTTGCCTGTCTTGAATTAAATGTCCTGTGGAAACTTCATATGTTTTGAGAGATCCAATTTATTCAGGTTAGCACAATGGGCATGAAATTGAATTGCATAAATGTATGGTATCCAGGTCATTTTTGGCCCAGTAAGCTCTTTGTGGCCTTACAAAAAGTCTTGGTGTGGTCTGAAACTAATTATAGATCAAGGGAAAAAATTTGCCCGGTGAAATATTGGCTTGACTGACAACCGCAATTTTTAGGTCTTACGAGCAATTTCTATTCATCGTTTTTAAGGTCATTTTCCATTGATATGGCCAACTACTTAAACAAAATAGCTAATTTTTCTTTTTTTTTTGTTTTGAATTATTCTAAATAATGGTTTTATTTACTGCTTTCATACTAGGTAACATAGAAATTGGTAATGGCTATGGTGTACCAGGAGGAGGTGCTTATTATGGTGCTCCAGGACCTAATGTAACTGCACCTAGTAAGACTAATTCACAATGCTCAAATACTTTCATTATTGTTTTAAGAACTGTTATTGACACTCCAAAAATCTCATTGTGCACTCCTCACAAGTGTATTTTTGTTTCTAAACAAGAAAGTTTTGGAGTGCACAGTGAGAACTTTGTAGTGCCAATAATAGCTCCCATTATTTGTCTCTTAATTTTGTATTGTAAAAATGACCAATTTACTTTTATTTATGATGCCTAGGAAATCTGGGAGTTGGAAATAGTGAGATGGATCAGAAGAATATTGAATCTGATAAAGAGTTAAAACAGAAGCCTCCGGTTAAAGAATTGTCAGAGTATCTGAAGCAAAAGTTGAGGGATAGAGGTATTCTTAAAGATGATTCAAATAATGGCAATATTGTAAGTTCTTACCTTGCAAATCATTTCCCTTTACCAAGCCTTCTACTTTATCTCTCACCTCATCTTTGAACAAGTTTTATATTGTTTTGAGAACCAAAGATCTAGTTCTGAAGCTATATTTTTCAGTCTGTTAGTGCAAGTTCAAGTTGGAGTTTCTGAAAATGCTTTTCTATAGGTGGTTGATGGGTCATCTTTATGTGAAAGAATGTGTTAGGGCTTGTATTTGTTGTGTCCTAGGTTTGTCTCTAATAAAGCAATTACATGGAGTCTCAACTTTTAATTGGATTTGGACTGCTCAACTTATGAAATTGGGTCTTTGTGTTATTCTCAGTTTATCTCTTAATTTTGGGTTAACCCGTATCTTTCAATTTCAGAAGTTGGAAAGGAGCTCAGCTCAACAAATGGAATGCAGGAAATTACCTTCTGGTTGGGTGTGTATCAGTTGCAAGATATATTAGTATTTTAGTTTCATTTTTATTGGGTATATTGCACTCCATGCTGTTGGATATAAATGTTTTGCAAATACTGTATCATGGGAAATACAACTTGGTTTTGGGGAGGAGGTAATAGTTGTCTGGTAAATCATGGTGTGTTTAGTCAGATATGAAGACAGCCCACCCTCTTTGATTTCATTTTGGTTCATTCCATCAACTTCACTTTTGTTGGTCTTCTCGATATCGGGCTATTTTCTTGTGTATAAGCTCTTCTGATCACCAAATCTACACATCTGATAAAGTGGTAACTATAATGTGTTGGCAGTGGTAGAGCCCTCGAGACCCATGGATCCATGACCAGCAAATGTCTCTCAAAATTCTTTCATATTACCTTAGGTTTTAGATTAGATTATTTTATATATAACCCCACAACGATTGTTTTGAGAGGGAATTGGCATGGGAAAAACATACTTCATAGTAGTAGCAGAAATCTAGTGAGAGAAATGGAGTGTACCGAGAAAAAGAGAAGGTAGACGACAGAGAAAGAAGAAGCTGAGAAAATGAGTTCAGTATTCAAGAATGGTTAATCGGTTACATATCTGACCTTAGCCTTATATATATATATATATATATATATATATAGCATAAGGTCACCTGAGCTATTTAACAATCAGGTAATTACACCAACTAACCATCAAACAAGGTAACGGACTCTTTAACAGACTATGCTGATGTGGACCATTCTGTTTATAGAAGCTGACATGCCACATTGTTGATTTGTCACTTAATAATACTCTCAACACCCTTTATTCTCTCCCCTAATAATTCAACCACATTGCACATACATCATAGGTATGTTGAAAAGAGATCAAGCATTGAAATTTAAGATGAAGATATAAAAAGTACTATTATGATGGTGAGATGTACGTATAAAACCAAAACTTTTAAATTGCATTATCATAATATAATATACTGAATTTTATTAGGCGGGCTGGCATTGTTTTTATATTTAACAAAAAACAATGACATGTTCCTTCAAGTCATCACAAAAGACTACAGCATGTAAACAAGTTACAAAATAAGATAAGGTCATTCTTGTTACCTAAAAGTTGTGCATGATATGCTAGCATACAGAGGGTTTACATATGCACACGTAATAGATAGACACCATAATTAATATTTCCTCTGTTCTTTTATAAAATGTTTTCTTCTCAGAAAACATATTAGACTTCTTGTTGTATGCTTCCTTCTGCTGCTATTAGCCTATAACTTCTCGAATTACTTTCTAGGTGGAGGCAACAGATCCTGCAAGTGGTGCTTTGTATTATTATAACGAGACCACAGGCAAGACTCAATGGGAAAAGCCTGCTCAGACATCTTCTGTTACACCACTTCAGTCGCCTTTATCTCTTGCAGAATATTGGGTGGAGGCTTTGGATGAAACAACAGGTATGCCAAATATGTTCTATACATGCAGTAGTTTTTGACAAGGTACACGAACATCTCAGGGGTATCACAGAATCATTGGCATCCACTATGAATGCGTAAATAACACTTGAGTCTCCGTATATAACACTTGAGTCCCAGTAAATTACACTTTGGTTCCTATATTTTTTAGCTATTATATGATCCTTAGAGTTTTTAGTAAAAAAAGAAAAGAAGAAAAAATAGCTTTTAATAAAATGAAAAATAGAAAAACAAAGACGCAGTTAAAATTTCTGAACAAAAAGGATTGGAGAAAGAAAGGTGAAGACCTATAGAAAAGAGAAATACTCTTCCATGGAACGAGAATCAGATTATTTACAAGGAGCACCAGCCAACAAATTATAACACTTTCAAGGACAAGAAAGCGGTTAATCTTTAATAAGTAGTTGGAGGATGCTCCGTTCGTGCAAGTAACAAGAAGGCAGTTACTTTATGATGGTGTTTGATCTTGGCTCTTGTGTTTGGAAATAACGGTATCACTACACTAGATAGATTGTCTTGCCTTTTGTCTCATTAAGAAAGCTATTAATCATAAGAAAGCTATGAATCTTAATGAGACAAAATTTAATTAGCAACTCATGATGATTGCAATATTTTTCTTGTCATTTTAATTGAAAAACTTTACTATTTTCATTCACAGGTCACAAGTATTACTACAATACAAAGACACAAGTATCGCAATGGAAACACCCTGGGTCATCAGAGCAGATTGCATCCCAACATTTTGAGAGTATGGTTTCTGGAAACCCTGCTAATGTTTATTGGGATGGCCAATCAACTGAGGTACAAGCAGGAAAGGATGAGTCGTCCACACTAAAGAAATGCCTGAGTTGCGGTGGATGGGGAGTAGGACTTGTTCAGATGTGGGGCTACTGCAATCATTGTACAAGGTAAGACGAATGCTATGTTCACTAGACATCTGAAGAAATCAAAGCCCAAAAGGGGGTTGAATTGAACTCTGTCCCACAATTCACAGCTCCCCAATGCCAACCTCCTCTTCGTTCCTCCAAAATCTTGAACCTTTTACATAATAAAGCATTACAAGAAGCTGGGGTCGCCCAACTCAACTTGGCCTCCCTAAACAGCCTTTTTTATGAACAATACACAACTACAATGTGAGACCAATAAACAACAAAAGTTTCCAACCTTCAATATCCTTTCCACCTTGTGAGACCAAGTATATATATTTATACTGAATGTACTTGACTGAAACAAAGTGTACTACTAAAAGACAACGATTTAATAAAATACGCGTTGAACATATTTTTGTGGACTTCCAATTTTCTATACCAGTATGTATTTTACATGTTTGGTACTAAAGTTTCGTATGTCGTTGTTTGACATACAATATTTTATTCTTTTAATAATTTGACACCTCTCTCTCTTCCTTAGTTGTGGTTCTCAATGTGCACAAAGTTTTCTTCATGGTTGCATTGACACCCTTTCTTCTGGAATATTTTATCACTTGCAGAGTTCTTGATCTTCCACAAAGCCAGTACATGATGACTAGTTTGGGTAATTATCAGCAGACCCAAAATCCTGTAGATACAAAGGGAGATTCAGACAGAAAGGCTCCCACGCAGAGGTACCTGTCCTTTAAGGAGATAAGGTTTCTTATGTAACTGGTCATTCTTTCAACTACTAAGTCATAAGTTTCATATAACCTGAAATGGAGTAAAGCTGTACTGAATTTTCATTGTTGTGTGTTTATATAAATGCGTGAAAGGTACTTGACCTAGAATGAAAATACAGAATGTACAAGACAGTCTCACAGTGGTGTCTTTGGATCTTATTCCCATTGAAGTATAATGAAATAATGGCATGTTTACTTCTTGTTGGACTCGTTTCCTATTGAAGGATAATGAAATAATGGCATGTTTACTTCTTTTGAAGAAGCCATGAATCGATATGAGATGTGTGCGAATAAACAACCCCTCTCTTAGTTATCTCATACTTTATTTTTTAGGTAGCCCATATCTAGCCCATATCCAAAACCAACGTGGGACGCACTTGGTTGTTATAGTGAACGCATGATATGTGACATGAATGGGAATGATACCCATTTCTTGCAAATCCATTCCTTGTATGTAAATATATCCTAAATGACATTATACAAATTGACTTTTTTGTTTGATTTTGTCATGGTACTATAGGTTTTAGTTTCTAAGTAGTGACAGCCCATTAAGCTGATACCCTAATAAGATGGAGCCACTAATGGACTTGTTTGCTTGTGCTTTTTTATGTTTCAAGATCACAAATTAAACATGGGGCTACAGCTGGAACAATTTTCTTTCTTCGTTTGTTTTGCTAGAACAGATTATGGAAACTGAGAATAAGACTTCCTCTGGAGAAGATGGAAGGCACTGAAAGCAATCAATTAGAACTTAATGGAGCGATTGATTTCAGTTTTGGTTTTATGTAGGTGTAATTGGAAACCTCCAATGGCAAAAGGAAATAGAAAGGATAGTAAGAAACGGGCTTACGATGAGGATGATGAATTGGATCCAATGGACCCCAGCGCATATTCAGATGCTCCTCGTGGTGGCTGGTAAGCTCTACAGACTTGATGAAGTATTCAGCAATCATGTTTTATTTTGTTTTCTCTGCTTGATAATTTGCAAAATTTATTTGGTGCTGTTTTTCAGGGTAGTAGGCCTCAAAGGAGTGCAGCCACGAGCAGCTGATACCACTGCCACAGTAAACTAATTACTTTACCTTGATAATTTGTCTAATTTATTTTCTTTTGATAAATCAGTAAATGTATATGAAGATTAGCTCAATGGTTTGCACAAAAAAAAGGGCAAAACGGGAAAAAAAGTTGCAGAAGTTCTTGTGGCGGTCTCTTCAACTTATTGCTAATTGTTGTGTTTAGGTTGTCTGGTGTAATCTACTAGACATAATTCCTAATCTTGTATATGGAAAACATTTCGGTAAACTTAGAAAACTCTTACAAAATTACTAAATGGGTATTGGGTACGATATTTGTGCAACATGGAGGATGCGATTCCATGGCTTCCATGTGGGAATATTGTCCCATTTTACCGAGTCATACACAAATAAATGCCTGTCATGCATTGCTTTTACCATTTGAAATCAACTCCGTTAGATAAGTTTTTCATGCTTTTATGTTTCTGGTATATTTTCAGGGTCCCCTTTTTCAACAGCGGCCTTACCCATCACCAGGTGCTGTCTTGAGAAAAAATGCTGAAATTGCTTCGCAGACCAAGAAACCAAGCTCGCAATTTGCACCTATATCCAAAAGAGGGGACGGCAGTGATGGACTTGGCGATGCTGACTGAGAATTTGATCGAGTTTGGTCTGTTTTGTGTATCACAAGAGGCGTGCTGGGTGCGTATATCATGCATTCAGTTAGTTTCTGATCAAATTTAGATATACTTGTATCTACAGCAGCAGACGAACCATTGATTTAAGAGTTGTGTATTTAGCATCTGGCTGCTGCTATACAATGGGTTTCATAACTAAACTGTGACAAGACGTTAGAGTAATGAAACCCGGCGTTGATTGCAAGGCCGGATGTTTCTTTTTTCTTGCATTTACCATTCATGGTATGTAGGCTTTCCCAATTCATTTTCAAAGGGCTTCCTCTGATCTCAATTAGTATGAAAATGTGGAGTGCTGGTGCTAGATCCTTTTATGTCTTGAGGAGGTTGAGCACGTTTTTGTGTTGGATCCTTGTACCTCTAGCTGTAAATTAACTTATTAATAGTTGTTAGTTGACTTCGTATTTCTAGTTTCCATACTTCGTAAATCATTATAAATTCATATACGTATTTTGTTCTCCAAACCTACATTGTATTAAAGCCCTAGATAAATAGGTTCTAGATTTCTTAAACCAAAAAAAACAAAAGTAAAAAGGGAAGTCATTTTCAGACGCCATTCGTCTCTTTATTTATGGTCATTAAATTGAATAAATTTAAAGGAATCAGTTGACAATTATAGCTTCCATACTTGTTCATTTGGGATCGTCTTCTTGATAAATAAAGAATAAGAGCCAAGCAAAAGATAGTGATTCAAATTAAGATTTATCAAGTACCCCATATAAAAATTAGGGAAATTTGGAAAAGTAACCAAATTTTGGATCCCATATAGAATTATAGTCACCATTTTAGATTTATGATAATTATAACCCAAAATTGATATAAAAGTACTAATATACCCTTTGATACATCTTTATAATTTTGTATCAAAATAAAAACTTAAAAAATGGACAATTAAATCCCCTTCTACTACAAGTTCAGAGACAAAAAACATATCGAAATCAGATAATGCAGAAGAGAAATGCCAAATGAAAACTGATACAAAATTTGCAATGGACAAAAAGCAGCTAATAGGTAATGATCTTCTTTTTCATGCTTGCCAGATGCCCCAAACTTGTAAAAAACAAAAATTGCTAAATGTAAACGAATCAATGTGTGTGGTGTGGGGCAATAAATATATATATATATATATATATATATATATATATATATATATATATATATATATATATTGACATGTTCTCCAAGTGATCTTAGCCATGAGTGTTCATGGCTTCCCAAACCATGCTCTTCGGGACTGGATTCAACAAAAGACCATTTTTGAACGAGAATAAATAAATTTTTCTTATCACACACAAATCAAACCGAAAAAAATCCTTTTGTTCTCACAGTCTATTTTTTTTTCTTTGGAACCCAAAAAAAGAAACTCGGTAAGACATTGGGATAATCTCATATTTGATTTGGGTTTTTTTTTGGATTTGTTTTCAAACTCTCTCCTTATCTCTCAATTTCTGTTTTTAAGGGTATATTAGTATTTACATATCAATTTTTTTTGTTATAATTATCATAAAATTTAAAAGAGTGGCTATAGTTCTATATGGGGTTCAAAATTTTGGTTATTTTTTCCAAATTTCTTTTTACAAAAAGAAATTAAAAATGAAAAGTAACAAGTAACTAAGCATATTGTAGGGTAAATTACATAGTAACCCCTTAAGTTTGAGGTCTATTACAATCGCATACAACAACTTCAAAATATTTTCACTTTCATACCTCAACTACTATTTTATTTCAATATAGTACCTTCGTTACGTTATTTTCCATCAATTAATCTGTTAAATGCTGACGTGGTTGCCACATATATGCCACGTGGCTACCAAATGTATGCCACGTGGCAAATAAAAAAAAAAATTTTGAAAAACCCCGAATTTCCAAAAAAAAAAAAATTGAAACCCATATCCCTTATCCCTCACCACCCCCCAGCGAAGAAGAAGAAGGGAAAAAAAAGGGATACCCATATCCCTCACCCCCCCCCCCCAGTGACCTCCCCAGAAACCTGCAACAAGAAGAAGAAGAAGAAGAGGGGAGAAAAAAAATTAAAAAAATAAAAAAGAAAAAAAAAAGCTGAAGAAGAAGAAGGGAAAAAAAGGGGATACCCATATCCCTCACTGATAGGAGCATATTTATGCAATTTAGTTAGCTTGTTCTTGTGCATTTAGGTTGTTATTTCTTAGTTAAATTAGTATTTCAAGCCATTTTCGTGTGTTTATAGGTCCAAAGGGTTAAAGAGGCAAAGAAGTGCATTTTTTTAGCTTTTTGGAGCAGTTTTGGGCTTGGAATGAAATAGCACATGCTTGGAGCTAAGTAGATGGACAAAATTGAAGATCAAATGAGGCTAGGAATGAATAATGACATGAAAGAAATGAAGAAATGAAAATGAAGAACAAAGAGTTCAGAATTGGAAGCCAAAGTTTCTAAAGTTGGAAGTTTCTATTCTTGGCTTGGAAGTTTCCTAATCCTTCCTCACCTATGTTCCAGCCACAAAAGGGTTTCAAAACATGTTAGGTTGCCTAATTACATGTTTCTAGAAGTCTTAGAACCTGCCCTAGATATTGCCGCACCACTACTTTGATTTCTTGTTCCTTGTTGCACAAGACACAATCTTTCTTTCCTATTTTCTGCACCTAAACCACATTCCTGTTTTGTTCCATCCATTGCCGCACAAGGGATCCTCTCCTTGCCTATTTTCTGACCTAAAACCACATTCCCTTTTCTTCAAACAAGAAGTCGCACCTTCCTTCCCTTTTCTCTCTTAAATTCTGACCTTAAATACCTTTCCTATATTGTGCCACATCTTTGTTACCTAATTCTTTTTAATTTCTGATTCTTTCTTACTTATTCAATTGTGGGGCAAATTAGTTAAGTTTTTAAGACCCTTTTCTGAACCCTAGCCGAGGAGGAGAGCCTTTGTATACCATCCTTAGCTGCATCCTTCAATCATTCATCATTCTATACACTTAGCCGCACCCATACACAACCAGAAACCATCCACAACATCCTTGCCGTAGCCCATTCATTTCCCTGACCCCTAAACACATCTCATACACTTCATCCACTTGTGTGCCGCAGCAAGAAGAAAGAAGGAAGGACTCTTTAGATGTTCAAGCTTGATTGTTGGAGCATTCTAGGTGTAATTCGTTCTATATTTCCAATGTTTAATTTCTTTTCCTTTCGTTTTGCTGTAAACATGAGTGGCTAAGCCCCTCTTGGCTAGGGGTGATTTCAAAGCCATGATTATGTGTGCAATATGAGTTGATAAATTCCAGTTATGAATTCTTGAATTGTGAATGAAATTGGCTTAACTGTTTAATTGATAACTTAGTTGTGTTTGTTGGTTGAGGGTCGACACTTAATTGGCATGCATAAATCTGATGCTAGAGTATAAGGGAGTTTCACATAATCATTACAGGGAGTTTCACATAATCATTACAAACTTATATTCATATGTAGTGAAGGTTGCTAGTCACGACTGCGTTAAGTTTAATTCCTAGCATGAGTGACATGATGTCATAGTTGCAAGTGCTTTGTCAATGCTTATGATTTTCATTGAACGTAATGATCTTTGATTGTATCTCTATTATGATGTCATGTAGGGAACTTTTGAAGAATGCTTTGGGTTGTCGAATGATGTCATCCAATCCAATAATACAAGGAAAATCTAAGGGTTAACTAATGATGTCACGGTTAATTTGGGGCATTGTCGTTCATAATTCAATGAAGGAGTAACTGGAAATTGATTCATTTGCATACATGTCATGTGTGGAGAAAGAACCTCTAGCTAGCTTTTCATCCATTTAATTCAACCAAATTCGTCCAAAATCTGTCTTAAGTTTTAGTTACTTGTTTTTATTTTAAATTCGTCCAAAACAAACCCCCCCTCTTTAATTTCTTGTTTCAAAGTGTTTAAAATCTGTTTTGTTTGTGTTTTTAAGTATTTTGAGTCAAGCCAAAACCCTAAATTCGTCCAAAGTTGTGTTTAGAGTCAGAAATTGCCTAGTTGGTGTTTTTAGGCAGTTTTGAGTGTTTTTAAGTTGTTGAGTCTTATGAACTTGTTTTGAGTCCTTTGAGTCTATTCAAATGTTTTTAACTTTGTTTTTATGTTTTTGAGTCAGTTTAGAGGTTTTAGCAAGCCCTCCTAATCCCCGGTTTAAAACGATCCATACTTGCATTATAACTACAATTTGACAACAAGAGGGTTTAATTTGAGTGCTTATATATTTTCGCATCACTCACCCCCCCCCTGATGTGAAAATTATGTTGACACACAAATTAAACCCTATTGATGACAATTGTAGTAATGATGCAAGTAGGGATCGTTCTAGACCGGGGATTAACTAGGGATGCTAATCAACACAAATAAGACTCAAAAACACTAAACTAGACTCTATAGACTCAAAACTAACTCAAAACACTCAAAACAGCAAATAACAACCAAAAAGACTCAATTCTAGACCTAACAAGTGATTTGGACGAAAATAGAACTTCAAAGACTCAAAAGACTTAAAAGAAACAAGTTTTGACTCTAAAAACAAGACTTAAAAGTAAGGGGATTGGTTTTGACGACGAAATTGGACTTTAAAACATAAACTTTGAAAACAAACTTTAATGAAAACGATTTTGATGAAATAGAATGGTGAAAGGCTAGTTAGAAGGTTCCTTCTCCACACATGAAACATATGCATACCACTCGATTTCCAGTTACTCTTTCAACAAACCATGAATGACAATGCCCCAAATTAACTAGATTGCACCAATTAATTCTCAGATTTCCCTAGATTCATTGAATTGAATGGAATACGCATTACAACCAAATTATTCTTATCAAGGACCCTAGCTATGGAATACGCATGATAGAGACACATATCAAAGATCATCAAGTTCAATGGAAATCATAAGCATTGACGAGGCATTCATAACTATGGGATACGCATGTTACTCTTGCCAAGGATTTACCTAACACAATCGTGACTAGCGACTTTTACTACTTATGAATATAAGTTAATAACGATTAGGTGAAATTCCCTTATACTCTAGCATCAAATTCATGCATGCGACTTAAGTATGCATCCTTAATTAACATACATAAACATGTTATCAATCAAATAGATAAGTAAACCACATTCACGATTCATGAAATCATAACTGGAGGTAATCAAGTCATATAAAAACATATGATCATGGCTTTGAATTCCCCTTTAACTATAAAGAAATTAGTTCCTCATGTTCGCAAATAAACAAAGATGAATAAATTTAAAAACATTAACATAAAGATAGAAAACACCTAGAATCGCTCCAACAATCCAAGCTCCTTGAATGGCATGCACGGCTCCAGATTCCTTCCTTCTTCTCCTTGCAAACTCACGGCACAATGAGGGGTTTTGGGTGAATGATGTAGTGAAAATATGGTAGA